CCACACGTTCCTTTCAACAGACGTTGTTGCCTCTGTCCTACAAAATACCACGGCCAAAAACCTCGTCCTTCTCCTTCTCAATCTCCTTCTTAAAACAAGTAAGTTGTTCATGTTCTGGCTCCGGTACGAGAGGAACTTTAAAATCTCCAGGTGCTCAATGCTCACGTCCATGTTTGGACAACTTCTGTAAACACAGAGACGCTCGCTGCGGTTGACGTCGTCGTGTCTCCAGTGTCACATGTGGGACACTTTTGGGCTGTTTAACGTTCACACTGGAGTCACATACAAGTCACATTTAATTGGAAATGTGAAAGACCTCGCATAAACATCGGATTTCACAAAAAAATCGCAATTGAGCATTAAGCCCTGCAGTCTGAACGTAGCCATAAAGTTGAGTCACATGAGTCCAAAAGACAAACACTTTTTCAGTCTTTTCATCACAACAGAAGCCAAAATAAATAAAGTGATCAACATAAATAAAGTGAAATGATGTTAAATAAAGAGCTGCACTAAACCTGCACACGTCTGATCTCTGAAAACATGAACCATCTCCAACACGACACACACACAGAACACACTCACCATCATCATCATCATCATCATCATCATCCTAACATCACAGAAAGAACACTCATATTCCACTGAGTCGTGTACTTTAGTCTAACAGAAGCTGAACCGCATCAGTGCACAAGGAAAGAGCTGTTTTTTTTTTGTTGTTGTTGTTTTTTGTTTTTTTTTTAGTTTAGTTTTTTAGTTTTTTTTTTTTTTTTTTATTTTTTAGTTTAGTTTTTTTTTTAGTTTTTTTTTTTTTGTTTAGTTTTTTTTAGTTTAGTTTTTTTAGTTTTTTTTTTTTTTTTTTATTTTTTTTTTTTTTTTTTTTTTTTGTTTTTTTTTAGTTTAGTTTTTTTAGTTTAGTTTTTTTAGTTTAGTTTTTTTAAACATGTTTTTTCTTTAACCTGGGCCAAAGCATGTTTCCTTTTTTGGTCAATGTCACATCACTGTACAATACACTGTACAAATAAAATCGTACCATACTATGGAAATAGAAAGTTAAAGCCACACTACGGAACAGTCTCTATACACTGTGGAAGATTATAGCCAAGAGAACAACATTTCCATGGCCAAGTAAAAGTCCGGTTTGTCGAGATACAATCCTGCTTAATGTAAGAACCAATGTTTTTCAATGCAATTTAAAAAACATTATTTTATTTCATGTAAAAAAAATTACATATTGAGACTTAAATATCTATAATTACCACAAAAAAGTCTAAATTCAGTCAGATATCTTGACTATATTTTCGTAAACATAGAATAACGTTCAATCAGACTCACAGCGTTCTATTTATTTATTCAATTTCATCACAAATTACCCCAGATGAGACTGAATGACAATAAACGGCGACTCTGTATTAAAACATTTCTTATCGTGAGTTGTTTTAGCAACCAACATGACATGAGCGAATCCAACCCTCGCCCTGTCTAGACTCTATTGTCGTCTCTGCGGATTGCTGCTGACATTTCCTGTTGGTGACATAGTTAAATTACAGACTACAATGCACTGTTCTCCTCTCAGCACATCCACTGACATGTAAATAATGCTATCATGTTACATCAAACCAGACACTATGACTAACTCTTATTCACTGTTTGTTTTTTGTTTTTTTCAGTGTCGCGGATACATTTCTGTTTTCTTTCAAATCAACACGGAGCCAAAATCATACCTGCAAGTTACAACAACTTTTTGATTTTAATTAATTTTGTATGAGAAATGTGCTGTCAGCGGCGTCGACTACAGCCATATTAATTTCTGGAAAGGTTTAATACTCAATGTTGTCATGAGAAGGTGTCAAACTATAGACTGTATATATAAATGGGCATAGGGTCCGGTCAAGCAGTAACGGAGGGAAACGGGCAGATTTTTGACATTTTAATAGCTCTTATTCAGAAACTAGAGGGACTATTGAAATAAGTAAAGTATCAGAATGTAGGAAAGAGTTACACTCCAACAGGGTAAAGTTAAACCTGTGATATTCTTTCAAATTGTTGACAAAAAATTTAAAAACTCATGTCGGTAACGGAGGGAATGAAATATGCAGCACTTTTTGGGCAATAAATCCAAACAGTGATAACTCTTGGTTCTCACTTACATATCCTTAACAAACTGGTTTGAATATTTGCTTCATATAGTTTTCTACCATATGGTACAAGATTAGGTTGAAAAACCTCTTACTTACACTTGCATGATTTTGTATAATTTTCAGCTTTTTTCTTCCGAATACTTTAATATTACTTCAAAATGAAAAATAACAATTTCTATAAAATATGTCAGTCCTTCCAAGCAAATTTTTATCATTTTAAATACATTTTTTTTTTTTTAAATCATGTCCCTTCATCAACAGTTCAAAGATGGAATAACACAAGATATGATGAAATACATCCATTTATTTACATGATTTTCAGGTCTTTGAAATTTGGGAAATAATTTTTGTTCCATGTTTCATACATGGTCTGTTTAAAACGTCTGTAACTTTAGAACCAGAAATGGTACAGAAAAAAGGTAAACAGTTTCATAAACTAGAGTACATATGTATCTGTTCAATACATTTTTATATCAGATGCATTAACTTGAATTTTTGACCTTGCTGTTTACTTCTGCTTGACCGGGCCCATAGGTAACCTGCCAGCCATCATGTTCCAAATAGTAAGTGAACATGGGCACTCTTCTGGCTCCATCGACTCTGGCTCCAGTTCACTTTTTATTGAAAATCGCCACCCCTGTCTTTATAACTGCTGCTGCCAGGCTCCTCATTTTGGTCCTAAAATGTTCGTATTAGAAGTCTGCGCGGGACAGAATTTCCAGTCCCGCCCACACCCCGCTTTGTACAGTCCTTTGAATTTTTTTTTGCACCTTTAATTCGCAAGTTCACCTCGCAGAAACGACAATGATCGTTGACAGACATGTTCACTCTCTGCTTTGTTTGCCATTGTGCCAACAATTACTTGGACACCACTGAGGACTACCTTAAGCCTGGCATACACTGTGCCATTTTTGGCCTTTTTTGAGCCGATTACTCACCAATTTTTGGCTTAATCATGTGTCGTGCTTTGTGTAGTATACAGATTAATACAGGGGTCTCCAACTTTTACCTCGTGATCTACCGTAGCTCACGTAGCTCTGATTTGATTGATTAAATGCCTATTTCCATTGTACATGTATCATTTGATCACTGGATAATGGGTTATGTTGTCAAAGCATCTAAATGCACCGCATCTACGGCTTGCCATGGCTCTTATATTAACTAAATTTCTAGTGGCCGCTAAAATTAGTAGCTCTCTGGCAAGTAGCTCACAGGAGGAAAACGTTTGGAGACCCCTGGATTATTACCCCAAGACCAGCTCCTGATCAGCAATCGCAGGTCGCAAGGAAATCAAACCTGTTCTCTCTCGTGAGGGTTTTGCTCTGTTGAAGTAGTTTCACGAGCTGTGAACTTTTAAACCCTGTGATTTGGTCGTACAGTTTGAGCTTGAGCTGAATGTGTGAGTGAAACGATCAAAAATATTGCACAATGTATGTCACAATATATGGCATTAGCTTGTTGATTTTACTTATTGTGCACATTTTGGTTTGATGGGGGAAAGCGAAGTACCCAGAGGAAACCCACCCCGACACAGGGAGAACACGCAAACTCCACACAGAAAGGCCCGGGAGTCGAACCTGTCACCTTCTTCTTTCTTAAATTAATTTTAATATAAAGTAGGTACCTGATTTTTTTGTATTTCGCCCAAGTACAGATGTATTGTATAAGCAGCTCTTGAGGTCAAAATAAGTCCACTGTGAAAGGATTTTATTGTCAGATAATGAGGACGTGCGCGTTTGCATGCTAGTTGTTTGCTTTACCGTCAACAAAAGGCTCGACTTCAGTCTTTGAGAGTTGTGAAAAGCGCTTATAATTCGTGTATCATTAGTTCATTTGTTTTTCAAAATAAAGCCAAAAATAAGAAAACGAAAAAACAACAATTTTCTTCATTATTTGTGTCCAAATCCAAAATGAAAAAACAGATCATGATTTGCTTTTTCAGTTTTCGATTTTGTGTTTAAATAAAAAATGGAAAAACGGATAACGACCGTTTCCCGTTTACGTGATTTAAACTGTGATGCCAGACTCAACCAGGACTAAACCAGGACTAAACCAGGACTAAACCAGGACTGAACCAGGGCCGACCAGACCGCAACCAGACCCGAACTTAGACCAGGACCAGACCAACACTGAGCCCGGGACCAGGACCTGGACTGAAACTGGGACTGAGCCCGGGCCTGAGACCGGGACCAGAACTAAGACTAGGACTGAGACCGGGAACAGGACCAGGACTGAGAACGGGACTGAGAACAGGACTGAGACCAGGACCAGACCAGGACCAGGCCATGACTGAGATGGGGACTCAGACCGGGACCAGACTGGGACTCAGACCGGGACCAGGCCAGGACCAGGCCGTGATTGAGACGAGAACTCAGACCGGGACCAGACGGGGACCAGACCGGGACTGAGACTGGGACCAAACCAGGACTGAAAACGATTTAGTCTTGGTTTAGTCTTGTTTTGGTCTTGGTTTAGTCCTGGTTCAGTCCTGGTTTAGTCCTGGTTCAGTCCGGCATCACAGTTTAAGTCACGTAAACGGGAAACGGCCGTTATCAGGTTTTTCCATTTTTCATTTAAACACAAAATCAAAAAACTGAAAAAAAAAACAATCGCTATCCAATTTTTCATTTTGGTTTTGGAGACAAATAATGAAGAAAACTGTTATTTTTTTTTGTTTTATATTGAAAAACAAATGAACGAATGACACAGAGATTGCTTATAAACTCACGCTCTGGATGAAGAAAGTAAGTGCGGAGTAACTTTGGACCACTGCAAACTGTTTTAAATGAAATAGTTTTGTTTTTCACGTTTTTAAGACAGTAAAAGAAGAGTAGATGTGTTGGTGCTGGACGTCGGACTCACCCACTGCTGCCACTTTGATGAGGATGGCGTGGAGGTCAGCCGATACCATCTGGGACAGCAGCTCGCCCTGGTCCCTCCTCCACAGGTAGGCCAGGGGCTGCAAGCCAAGCCGCGTACATCTGCACAACAGGCGAGGAGAGAGAGGCCATTACGGGACGGCGGGCGCGTTCAAGAACCACTTCAAAGCCGGGCGGCGGGGACGGGTCTCTTTGTCGTTCTGTGAGAAGGCCGGGTCGCGCCGGGGTCACGCGCGCTCACCGCCAGACTACTGTTGCCTCGGCGGCTCTTTAGTCGAGCGCCAAGAAAGCACGAGCACAAAGAACCGCACACACAGCTCTGTTCAATTATATAAAAGAGCTTTGTGTCGTATGAAAAATGGATCACAAGGTTTTGGGAGTAACGCGATATGTTTAACTCTTGTTTTACATTTGGCACAACAGGTGAGTGCCAGGAAATATGATTCGATTCAGTCTGTGCTCATTTTGTAATCTACAATGTTTCCAAGAGTTTTTTTTCTATACTTTGTAGTAGAGGTGTGCAAAAATATCAAAATATCGATATATCGTATTGTTTAATGTGATGAGACAGTATTGATATCGTGGGCTGCTGTATTTTTTGGTATATTTTACTCAATTATTTTGTTAAAGTGCTACAAGTTTTGTCGTTTCTTTAGAGGAAGGAAACTCGTTTATGCGACACATTTGACATTTTCACTGTTTTGATGATAAAAATGTGCTTTTTTCGTGTTAACTTTGCACAAGAAATGATTTAACAAAGATATTTAGTATCAAAGACATGATTTAGACTTTATTTTATATTAAACTGTATTGAATCGATTTAAAATGTACCATATCAAACTGAAAGTGCACTGTATCATATCGGCAAATACCTATACCAAAGCCCTACTTTGCAGTGACATCGTGCTGGGGGTGTTCTACATGCATCTTTATTTGGCGGAATGTTCAGCAGTTACCATGGTGACGCAACGCACACCAGAGAAATCATGAGCAAACGTTATCAAAAAAGATTGTCCGAAAACAAAATAAAATTGACTAAATGGATTTAAATGATATATTTTCAAGAATCTGCGATCAACACACGTGTTTTTGTAAATCTGGGCATTGTACAGCTCCTGGTCCTCATACGGCCCTTTGGTTGACCCTGACCGGCCCGTTTAAGCTCATTTGGAATTACAAAATAAACATATTTTATCATTTTAACTCATGCATGGACTAAAGCTGCATTGCTTTGATTTCATGTGTTTTTTAATTACATTTTCTATAAGGCAACCTCTCTTTTTCATTGCTTACCATATTTTTCGGACTATAAGTTGCTCTTTTTTTCATGGTTTGGGTGGTGCTGCGACTTATACTCCGGTGTGAATTATATATATCAACAAAGTTTATTTGTTTATGTTATAGTTTATCTGAAGAACTGTTCATGTGTGACGTTAACAGTCTGTTGTTGTCTGTTCTGCTGTTATTACTAGAACTTGACTTTCAAGATGAAATGTCGGTACATTTTCCCCAAAGAGTGCGATGTATAGTCCGGTGCGACTTATAGTTTGAAAAATATAGTCATAACATAACATAAACTCCAACCAGTCTGACCAGCTCATCAAAACAAAGCTATTTACTTCTTTTTACAAAGAAATACAATTAATATTATGCAGAGTTGAGTTAAGCATGTTGGCCATTGTGTCCTTGGGCCAGACACTTATACCTAACGTTCTCACTCTAGTCTCAGTGCATTGGTGTGTTGGCATTTGCTGTAACTGTTTTAATGCATTATTTGTTTCTCTTAATCGTCACAGTATTGCATATTTACAGGTTCAAAGTCTGACCTAGCGCTTTTTGTATCAACTTAAAATAACACCACGCCATAAAAATCAAACAGATCTAAATCCAGCGCTGTAAACAGACAGCTCGGTGACAGAGGGGTTAGGAGGAGGATGTGGTCTGTGCGTCATCGGGGGGAAGGTGAGGGGAGACGGGAGCTCTTTTCTGGGATGCACTTACACGTTCTCCACCCGGACCCTCTGGTAGTCCGACAGGATGGCCCCGACAGACACCGCCTCCACGCGCTCCTTCTCCTGGACACACACACGGAGAGAACGACGTCAACGTGAGTCCAGTGAAAGGATAATTCATACTAAAAAAAAATACTAATTCACATTCAATCACACCAATATCATTCTTCTAGATTTAATACTTATCCCAGGTGCAACTTTAAAATCACTTATCAGGGGCCAAAGTGCAGAAGTAGCATCAATTTTGGTTACAACTGGTTTTGTGTTTAAATTAGGGATGGGCATTCGATTCAGTTTTCTTAAGCGATCGTCGGAAGAATTAACGATCAATTTTCGATTAATCAGTAATGTTTTTACATTAAAATGTGTTTAATGCAGCTTTGACACATTTGTTTAGGTTTTACAGAAACAAAACATAAAACCACATGACTCATTTGCATAAACCAGGCATGTCCAAACTATGTCCTGTGGGCCAAAAGCGGCCCCCAGACAAATTTTTCTTGACCCTCAGGCTTCCAGGTGAATTAGCCCAACTTACCTTGCATCAATTAAAAATAAAGTTTTAACTGCGAGTTTTTTGAAAATCTACCACGATAAAGCAAAATATTAAATACTGGTGTGTAGTTTTAAGGATCTTTGCATGAATAAAGACTGATGGCTCCTTCTAACATGTTAAGATAAGATAAGATAAGATATGCCTTTATTAGTCCCACAGTGGGGAAATTCCAGTGTTGCAACGCACAATTTCAGAACAGCAGGAAAAGGTAACACAGATAATAATAATAGCTTAAAATAATTTAAAAATAGACTTAAAAATAATTGCACATGGTTATGATTGACTGGTACATGTTCAGTGTTAACAGTGTTTGATGTAAAGTCTGACAGCAGCAGGAAGGAAAGACCTGCAAAACCTCTCCTTCACACAGCGAGGGTGAATCAGTCTGTCACTGAAGCTGCTCCAGAGCAGACAGAGCCTCCTGCAGGGGCTGAGACTCATGGCCCAGCATAGAGACGACCTTAGTCAGGACCCTCCTGTCCCCCACCTCCTGCACTGAGTCCAGACAACAGCCCAGGACAGAGCTGGACTTCTTGATGACCTTGTCCAGCTTCTTCTTCTCCCTCTCTGTGATGCTGCTGCTCCAGCAGACCACACCGTACAGGATGGCTGATGCCACCACAGAGTCATAAAAGGTCTTCAGGAGTGGCCCCCCCACTCCAAAAGACCTGAGTCTCCTCAGGAGATAGAGCCTGCTCTGGCCCTTCCTGTACAGTGCATCTGTGTTGTGAGTCCAGTCCAGTTTATTGTTCAGAAACACGCACCAGTCTATGGCCCTCGATCGGCCCTCTGCTTTGTCTATGTTTAGATATGTTTCCCTTGATGAAAAAACTATAAGCGCTGAAAAAAACAGCTCTTTCCTTGTGCGCTGATGCGGTTCAGCTTCTGTCGGACTAAAAGACACAACTCAGTGGAATATGTGTGTTCATTTTTTGATAGAAGAATGTTGTTCTGCCTGTTCTGTGTGTATCGTGTTGGAGATGGTTCATGTTTTCAGAGATCAGACGTGTGCAGGTTTTCTCTTTATTTAACATCATTTCACTCACTTTATTTACATTGGTCACTTTCTTTATTTTGGCTTCTGTTGCGATGAAAAGAGTGAACTTATGTTGCAGTAACCGGGATACTGCGTTTATATGCATCGTGACGAAACTGGGACACTCAAAAAACCCGATCATACCCAAGACACTGATGTGCTGTAAACACACTCACTGAGTTGAACAGTGTCTCCAAGGAGCCAGAGCCCAAACGTGGGACTGTGAGCCACAACTCCAGTGTTTGTGTCAGACACAGACTCATCTCCTTACACTACACACAGCAACATACATTCAGTTTGTCGATTAAAAATGAACGTGATCGATGAAACTCTTAATGATCAATTATCGATTAGTCGACTAATCAAGCCCATCCCTAGTTTAAATCTTTGCGCATTAGTGTTTTTAATCCCTCACTGTTTATTTGTGTGTGTGTTATTTTTTTGTAGTATGAGTTCCATAGAGACGAGCAGCAACACCACCAGACCAAGACCCTGGACTTAAAGGTTGTATGGAGGATTTTTTTTGTTTCAAATTGTCAATGAAAGATTAAAATACCATTACAGAGACGCAGCAGCTTTGTAATTATGATGACCAAAAAAAAAAGAATGAAAATCTATCAACTGTGGACGTAGTGAGGACAGATAAACATCAGCCAATAGAAAACAAGGCTCCTTCATTTTCTATTGGCTGTTAGGTTGTCAATCAAACTCCCTAGTGTAACTGACTTGTCGGCGCGCGGGGATTATGTGGTTTATGCAGCGGTTCTTAGAGGCTTTTTCAAACTGTCGCTTCCTCGCATTTCGCACAAAGTTTGTCGCGACGGTGGACGAGAATCCACGACCAGTTCGCCGCAAAAGAAAGTCGGTTTTTGAGGTCGCTGAAAGAAGAAGAAGATAAGGGGAAAAGGAGCGAAGCTAAACTGAGGTGATTCTTGGAGATTCCTTCCACCGATGGCGCGACTGAAACAGACGAAGGGTCTAAAAACTGACGCGTCGGTCGCTGAATTACCTCTAGACAGGAAACTTCAACAGTAATTCTGAACGCGCACAAGGACGGTCGCTGTATTTCTCTTTAAAAAATCCTCTATACAACCTTTAAATAAATGTAGAATAGATATTAGGGGGGAATCAATATCCAAGTTTCATGATACGATATTGTCACGGTATGAACCTCACGGTACGATATTTATTGCGATATCATGGGAAAACTCACAGTATGGTGGGGAGGCTCACGATTACGGATGTAACAATATCCAAATCTCTCTGTACGATATTTTCAGGAGAGGAAGAGGAAGAGAAGGGGAGAGAGCTTATTTCAGATCAAGTGCACTACAGGGAGGGCAGGGAGAGTTTAGTGCAGCAAATGCCGTATCTGGAGACGGCCTGGACAGGAGTTAGAGACAATAAATTAACTTCTAATTCATATTCGGACATGAGGATGAATCAGTTACATCATAAGGATTATAAAACAACAGAATGTTTTTAAAGAAATATGTTTTTTGAGTATTTAGTGGGGGCGTAACAATCACAATATCATCACTAGGGATGGGCATTCGATAAAATTTTCGTAATCAATCGTTTGGAGAATTAACGATTATCGATTAATCATTAACGTTTTTTATATTAAAATTTATCATCATTATTATTACTATCTGCACTACTAATCTGCATAAATAAATTCAACTTTACGACATATAAACCATAACGACTCTAGAGCCACATCAGCCCGTTTGACATTATAATGTGTTTAATTGCAGATTTGTGCAACTCTCACAGAAACAAAACTTAAAACCGCATCACTAATTTGCATAAATTAAGCGAAGGAATAAGCATTTGAGCTTCGGCACGTTGCAGACTGACCGACTGTTTGTGTCTCGCTCCTTCTGAGTGCAGAGCTACATGTACGGACCCCTGTTTGGTCACGCTACGCACAGCAACCTACATTCGGTTTGTCGATTAAAATGAATGTAATCGATGAAATTCTTAATGATCAATTATGGATTAATGGACTAATCATGCCCATCCCTAATCATCACGGTACGATATTTATTGCGATATCGTGGGAAAGCTTGCGATTTCGGGATCTAACAATATCCAAATCTCTCGGTACAATATTTATTGCAATATTTTGTGGAGGCTAAAAAAAAAAGTTAATATGCGACATTTTCCTCTTAAAATGCCTTGACAAGACTTAATCCAAAGAACTAAGACTTAAAAGTGCTTAAAGTGTTATTTCTTCTTGTAGTCTGCATTTAAATGAAGCAAAGGATCATGGTCTAGGTCAGGGGTGTCAAACTCATTTTGGATCCGGGGGTCGTATCCAACCGACTTTGATCCCAAAGGGGCCGGATCAGAAAACTCATGTCATATAAACCCCAAAAATAACAATAAATTCAAATATTTGTGCAGAGAAACGCAAATCTACTACAGAAATCTTTTTTAATTGAAGAACTCTTTCTTTTACAAAATATTATAATATTATGAACAACCTGAAACTTTAAGAAAAATACAATTTCAACACAATGTTTTAACATGAACTTGTTTAAAATTAACTTGTAGAAATAGGAATAAGTAAATTTTTGTTGTAAAATCCTGCACTCGGCTCAACTTTTCTCATTTTGGACATTTTTCTGATGAGGGTGTCACGGTCAACAGTCAAAACGATCGTCCTTTAAGAGCGTTTGGAAAGAGACAAGTCTTCATTTGTGCTGCTCTGGTGGGAGGGGCCACGTACAGAGACGCTGGAGACGCTGCTGTGATAAACACCACAGAAAATTAACAATATTTTAATAGAAAATATAATTAAAATATTTTAGTAGAAAATCAGCCGAGGGCCAGATTTAAGGTCTTGGAGGGCCGGATCTGGCCCCCGGGCCGCATGTTTGACACCTGTGATCTAGGTAGTTCTCTGTCTTTTTTTTTAAACTATTGCTGCACCAGAACTCTTAATTTAAGCAAAGAGACTTGTAATTTGATATATTGCGATGGTCCACGATATTATTGTGAGAACTTTGACTTTGTTACTGTATATACTGTAATACATGTGTTTAATGCGTTTAAGACCAAATCAAACATCCATTTTTATCTGTACTGTACTTCTTCATACGAGTAAAAAGTAAAGTCATATGCAAAACATTCCTGGGACATTTCCATGACACACGTGCATCTCCCACAGGGCCAAATAGTGCTTGTTCGCAGCACAATGGGATCCTAAGTGTTACGTGAGCATTGTAAACAGAACACGCAGGTAGAGAGGAGCAGAGCGCAAACAGAGCCCGGCGCAGCTCTCTCCTCTGTCACACGGGGATGTTTACACTGTACAGATATCACACACACAACAGAGCGGGGGCCATATCCTCCAGAGACGCCCACAATGCACTGGGTACAGGCGTTCATAAACACATCTACGAACAGCCACGTCAATGTCTATGAGAGTGTAACCTCGCGTTCAGCCTGCACCGTGTTATGTCT